ACAGCCACCGCTCGGGATAGTCGACAGTGGAGACGTCTCACCACTGTTGGCAGGCGTGCTCAGGAGCATATTTTTTGGACCTTGGGTTCTGGGGAGGTTAGCTTCTGGGATGAGTGGTGGTTCGGAGAGGCCCCCCTCTCGAGTACTAGGCCAGTCACTCACCTGCCTTTCATGCAGGTGAAGGATCTTTGGACGGGAGGGTTTTGGGATAGAGTAAGATGGAGGTTATTCTTGGTGAGGGTGGGGGTTTTAGTAGTCTAGAGATTGACCAGATCCGACAGATTCCCATTTTGGAGGGAGGTTTGGATGGCATGAGGTGGAGACTTACATCTTCGGGTGAATTCTCTATGTCATCAGCCTGGGGAGAAGTGAGGCTGGGTAACCGGCCAAACCGCCTCTTCGGGGCCATATGGACCGACCTTCTCACCCCGACCATCTCCGTCTTTTTGTGGCGCCTTCTATTACGGCGCATACCCATTGACACTGTGATGCAGCCGAGAGGATTCTCCTTCCCCTCCCACTGCCATTGTTGTGCTGAGACCGACACCTTTGAGATCGAGACTTTCACCCACCTTTTCCTTGAGAGTGAGACTGTGAGGAGAGTGTGGGAGCACTATGCCAGATATACACATATACCCCTTCCCACTACAGACAGTTTTTTTGAGCTTTTGAGTTTTTTCGGTCACCGCACACACAGTAGACACATGGGCTTCCTTATTCCTTGTCTGATCCTATGGGCCACTTGGACAGAAAGGAATAATGCGAAGCATAGGGATATTATATTTTCTTGTGCTCACATTATTTTGCAGGTTGACAGACACCTCTCTCTCCTCACTACCCTGGGTAAACATACGACGAGAGACTGGACAGGGTGTACACCGCCCCACCGTCTGAGGCCACCACCTCCTTTACCTGTCCAGCACCCACGACCCAAGACCGTTGTTTGGCTGAAACCCAAGGCCCCTTGGGTTAAGCTAAACACTGATGGCGCTTTCGACAGACATACCAGAGCTGCTCGAGGAGGGGGCCT